TTTTTTTTTTTTTTTTTTTCTTTTTTTTTTTGTTTTGTTGCCACAACAACTGTTTCTTTCTTGTTACTATTGACCCTGCTCTTGTTGCTTCCGTTGTTTTTCTATTGTTGCTGTTGCTACTATAGGCAATTGTTTATGCGTCTGATGCTCCTTTTGATAGAGCTGCTCGATTTTTCTGCTGTTGTTATTGTACCTGTTCTGTTGTGATACTAATGTTACTGTTGCTGCTGCTGCTTCCGCTGTTGCTGATGCTTCTGCTGTTGTTGATGCTTTTGGTGTTGTTATTGATGCTTTTGCTGTTGTTACTGCTTCTGCTGTTGTTGATGCTTTTGGTGTTGTTATTGATGCTTTTGCTGTTGTTACTGCTTCTGCTGTTATTGATGCTGCTTCTGCTGTCGTTGATGCTGCTTCCACTGTTGCTGATGCTTTTGTTGTTGTTATTGATGCTCCTGCTATTGTTTCTGCTTCTGCTGTCGTTGATGCTGCTGCTCGGGTTTTCTGCTGTCGTTATTGCACCTTTTTCTTTCGTAATGCTGTCTACCTATTTTCCTAGTTTTTTACTACGTTGCAATTTCAAAATCATAATAATCTTCATCTTTCCTCCCCAAGAACCCACCGCTCCACCGACAAATGTTTCTGCCTACAACACGAGTTCAATGGGAATCCTAGTCCACTGGAACCGAGTTCCTCCACAACATCGTAATGGCCATATTCTCGGCTTCAAAGTCTGCTACTACAAAGCTTCACAGCCTCCCACTACAAGACTTTGTCTGTCTGTCTACGCTATGAGTATTCATATTGGTGGACTCGAGCCGTATACCCCGTATTATATCAGTGTGTTGGCCTACACGAATGTTGGAGATGGGCCTGGATCTCCACCGTTGCTTGTATGGACGGATGAGTTCGGTAAGAAACAAATACCCACAACTTTCATTATTTCATAGCTTGTTTGAACTTAACTCAACTTACTTAAGGTGACTGCCTACTTTTGGAAATTGATTTAAATTTTTTTAAGACTTCGATTTTCCGAATCAAAATTTAATGCTGATTCCAAATCTGGAAAGAAAAATAGGGTGTCCCGAGCTCGTTTTCGAGATAATCAGCATTTAATGAAAGCCTACGCACGAGATTTTGGAGTAAAAATTGGGCCACCGGAAGTGATTAGAAAAAAATTAATATTCATAAGATAATAGTTATTTGCAGACTCTATGATTGCAAGAATAAAGGCTAGTCAATCATTCTACAATAATATATGGATATTTTCGACAAAAAGACAAAGAGATAAATTGATTCGTCATATTTTGTAGTTTCGGTGCTCTTTAAAAATCTCATAAAGTCGAACAAAAATCCCTACAAAAATCTATTTTTTCATGTCTTACTGATTTAAACTTTTCCTAGAATGTTGATATAACATAGATTTTTAGAAGTTTTTTTCGAATAAGCTATTAAAAAATAGAGAGTCCCGTGCAAAATTTGAGGGTTTTGCCCTGTTGAAGCTCAAAACGCGTATGGTTCTTCAATAAAATCTTGTAGATTTTTCAGCGGTTTTTGAGCGCGCGCACATCGTGGGCTCAAATCCAACGTTCAAAAGTAGGCAGCCACCTTAAGGCTCATGGGGCTTTCATCTAAAGAGAACTTTATGCAACAAGGCCCAGATTTCAAAACAAAACAGCCGGTTCCAAATTGACTGGTTTCTTATGATCGACCTTGAGAGGCACTTTGCATAAATACAATATCCTGCTATCCTTCATTGCGTGTAAATCAAGCCTACAACTCGCCTACTACAGACGCGAGCGTGTTGTATACGATAGTTGTAGGCGAAAATCGTACCGTCTAAACCGGCCGAAGATGCAAATATAACCTGAGTATCAGGCCTTGGAAGGTTTGGGGGCCTTGCAAATGAGCCACTGGAAACTCCTCGAAAGATCGAGAAAAATCTTATAGAAGTAAATCTAGAACGGTTCCTTTGCTTTTCTTTAAAGAGTGTCTAGATACTGAATATATTTGATTGTTAGTTYCCTCTAGAGCACCAGTAATAACAGTCATGATCGCCTCAACCACAACCATCACGGTAAGATGGCAGCCAATCCCTCAGAAATATGTTCATGGAATCCTACGAGGATACGACCTGGCTTACCACGAGGCAGCGAACTACGGCAGTAAAAGAGTCGCTCGACTCAACACGACTTTCACGAGCTTCGTAATCAAAAACCTTAAGAGGAATACTATGTATGGGGTCAAGATTGCTGGTCTGACGAAAGTAATGGGTTTTATCAGGAATGGGAAGATAAGTCCCACATGGAATATCACAACCAGACCAGGTGAAGTGCTGATAATGACACCTCTCTTATACCTTTTTCCATCTTAGGGGCCTTATGTAATTTTGGAGATATTTGAGTTCAAACTACGGGATTTTATTTCCAGAGGTGGTGGCTACCGAAATAACCCACCCCTCTCCTCAAGTTAGCTTTGACTTCATCCCTTAGGGATGTTAATTAGATGTCCAAAAGTCGAGAGTTTCATCCTAAACAATTTTGTCACCATGCTTTTATCCACGCAGGATGCCAAGCACCAACAAACATAAATGCCTTTAGCCTCTGCCCGCAGTGCATGACGGTACAGTGGACCAAAGTTCCCGCCATCAACCCTCAAGTCAAGGTCATAGGTTACCGTGTAACTCTGAAGGCTGAAAACAGTGCAGATGTCGTAAAGGATGTTGGGTCAAGTAAGCAGAGTGCGGACATTACTGGACTCAAGCCTTATACAAAGTATGCCATTACGGTAGCAGCTGATACCGATGGTGGTTTGGGAGATTTTAGTCTACCTATTAACCAGGTCACTCAAGAAGGAGGTAAGAAAGTAAGAGTTTTTAATTAATAAATATTATGAATATTTTCTATTATTAATTTTTTAGAAGGCAGGGCGAATGTGAAGTTCCCAAGGTTTGACCAAACATCGACACTACTATCTCCAACAAAAATAGTACAAATTTGTATCCCAAGTGAATTATATGAATAGGATATATAGAAGGAACGGAGGAAGCAAAGAGAAAAGCCAGGAAAGAGGGAAAGAGACAAGGAAGCAAGGAAGCAAGGAAGCAAGGAAGGATGGATAGAATCAAGGAATTTTGCTTAAAAGCAATATAGAAAGGCGAAGCTAAGAGAGTAAGGGAGAAAAATTTGGAGGGAGCAAGGAGGGAAGGAGGGGAAGAAAGATGGATAAAAGAAAAGGCTAGGAATTCTCAATGAATTTATAGATCATATAAAGATTTTCTTTCAGTTCCATCTGTGGCTCCCAAACAAGTGTCCGTACAAAGCAAAGGTCCCAACAGCATTTTAGTCAAGTGGAGTCCACTGTCTTCAAACGACGTTAACGGCGTACTGATGGGATACAATGTGTACTATAGAAACATCGTTGCCAGAAATAAGCGATCAGATACTGCGGGAGTAGTCCATGCAACCAACATATCATCACCCAGCGTACAAATCGTTGGTTTAAAGCCCTTCTCGCTCTACAGAATTACAGTGGCTGCTTTTACTAAGAAAGGCATTGGTCCACCAAGTGCACCAACGACTGTAAGGACAGACGAGGAAGGTAAGACACGTTAGAGTAGATCAGAAACTCATAAAGGGGTTGAAGCATGTAACAGCCATATAGCATTTCCTTTGTACGATGCTCCGGAATATTCAACTGGTATATATATATATATATAGTCAACTGTTTTGACAAATTTCTTTCCAGTAAATCATGTACTCTTGCATAAAAAATTCCCCAAAATGAATAAGAGAAAGATATTTCAAAATTTTGAGTAAAAGATTCAGCAAATGTCTTGGGAATGCAAGGAAGTTCAGCGAGAAGCTTGGTACGTGAAAGAAGCGACCATCTTGAAGTTACTAAAATGGGCCATTTTTTTACAGTCCCGAGTCAAGCTCCAGGCGGATTCATTGCAAAGCCAAAAACCGCTCATTCCATTCTCGTTACCTGGCAACCACTACAACGTCAGTACACAAATGGTGTCTTGAAAGGTTACCATGTCAACTATATAAAAAAATATGCAGATTCCAGTGTGATTAAGAATGTGGTGACGGTCAATCCATTCATCTTGAACGTGACTATAAAGGGACTGGAGCCGAATACTCCGTATGATGTTTGGATGGAGGCATTCAATGCGAAGGGAGGCGGACCAAGTACCAACACAGTCACGACTACTACTCTTGAAATTGGTATGTGCAAATTCCTCTCCTTCTCCTTCTCCTCCTCCTTCTCATCCTCCTTCTCATCCTTCTCATCCTTCTCATCCTTCTCATCCTTCTCATCCTTCTCATCCTTCTCTCCTTCTCTAAAAGCATGGACTGTTGCAGCCCATGGTTTTGATCGGATTCTGGTCCCTTTCACACCCATTCCAATATGATGAATCAT